ACCCTTCTCTCATCACTTCAATAACCCATATCCTGTAGTGGATGTTCTCATGAGAGATTAGGAACCCGATAAGAAAAATGCAGTCTTGTTCTCTGTTTTTCTTGCCGTATGAGGTCTAATCTGGTGATTTTTTTTTCTTGGTGGCTTGTGATAAGCAGCACCCAACCATTAGCATTGGATATTGCCATCTCAGCATCCTTCAGACACAAGATAGCACAACTAACAATACCTCAGTCAGAAAATTAAACCATTGCGATAAAAAGGAATGCTGGATGTTTCTGGGCAGTGAACTGATTGTCACAAAAACACTGTCCTAAAAGAAACAAAAGCGAGAAGAATGTGATCCTGAGAGTCTGATGCCAACGGCCCTCCTCTTGATAAAGTTGGACAACTTCAGTCGCTGGTCATTTCAGCCAGCTCTCCCCAATTCCTCTTATTCTCTTCTCTTCTCTTCTCTTCTCTTCTCTTCTCTTCTCTTCTCTTCTCTTCTCTTCTCTTCTCTTCTCTTCTCTTCTCTTTAAACCCTTCTCTTCCCCCTCATCTAACCCCTCTATCCATCCCTGTGTTTCTAGGGCTTTGTTCTCTCTGACTCACTTCCTGCTTCTGTGCCCATCTTTTCTAGTGACCTTTGCTGCTTCCTTTATTAGCCCTATAAATGTAGGCTTCTCCATGAGTTCTACCCATCTACCCTCCCTTCCTCAGCCTCCTCTTCTATTCCCTCATATATTAAAAATTTTAAATCATGGAAAAAAATAACAAGCTTTATCATCTTAACCATTTGTAAGTGCACAGTTCAAATGTGTTAAGTAAATTCACATTGTTGTGTAACCAATCTCTAGAACTCTTGTCATCTTCCAGAACTGAAATTCTTCCCCCACTAAACAACAACTCTGCATGTCCCCCCTCCCGCCGGTCCCTGGAAACCACCATGCTACTTTCTGTCCCTATGAATTAGACTACTCTAGGTACCTCATATAAATCAGACAGTATTTGTTCTCTTGTGATTGGCTTATTTCACATAACGTAATGTCCTTAAGGTTCAATCATGTTGTAGCATGTGTCAAAATTTTCTTCCTTGCCCTGACCTGGTGGCCAAGTTGGTTGGAGTATCATCCTGTACACCAACAGATTGCTGGTTCAATTCCCAGTCAGGGCATACACCTAGCTTGCGGTTGGGGTGTGTATGGGAGGCAACCATTGTTTTTTTCTCTCACCCTTCCTCTCTCTCTAAAATCAATAAACATATTCTTGAGTGAGGATAACAAAATGTCCTTCCTTCTTAAGGCTGAATAATATTCCACTGTTTGTATATACCACATTTTGCTTATTCACTCATCTCTGGGTGGGCACTTGAGATGCTTCCACCTTTTGGCTATTGTGAATAATGTTGCTGTGAACGTGGGTGTTCAATATATATCGTGGAGACCCTGCTTTCAGTTTTTTTTTGGGGGGGGGGCGGCTATATACCCGTAAGTAGAATTGTTGTATCATATTATAATTATTTTTTGTTGTTGAGGAACTATCACACTGTTTTCCATGATTGTGCCATTTTCATTCCCACTAACAGTGCCCAAAGGTTCCAATCTCTCTACATTCTCAACAACACTTTTTATTTTCTGTGTGTGTGTGTGTGTGTGTGTGTGTGTGTGTGTTTTAAATAATAAGCATCCTAATGAGTGTGAAGTGGTCTCATTGTGGTTTTGATGTGCATTTCCCTAATGATTAGTGATGTGAAACATCATTTCATGTGCTTGTTAGCCATTTGTGTGTCTTCTTTGGAGAAATATCTATTCAAGTCCTTTGCTCTTTTTTTTTCCTTTGCTCTTTTTAAAATCAGGTTATTTATTGTTGTTATTTCAGCCCCCTCTTGTAGAGCGCAGGTCTCACTCTTCCCGTGGCTGCAGCTACCGCCTTTATCTGTTCTGTGGTCCTGTCCTTTATCCTGAGCCCTACAGTGGACTATTGCTACCCTAGTCACCCAGACTAGAAAGAAACTTCAGGCTCTTCTCTGACTTTCTATATCTTATATCTCACGTGCAATTGACTGCCAAGTCGGTCAGTTCTGTCTGCACCAGGTTGGTCTAAACTATCCCCTCCCTCCTGGAGTTACAGCCACTGCCCCGGTTCCAGGGTGCCAAGGATGATCTATGACAGTAGAATTTGGTGTTGACTCATCTCCAATCTCTGGAGAAATCTTGGGTGGGGTAGCAAGGGTGAAGAGTGACATGAAGTTTGAACAATGATATTTGATTATATTATAATAGGTTATATTTGGAAAACAAAAAAGTACATTTTTTATAAGACATGGAATAAAGCTCAATAAAATATTCTGACCTAAGGAACTATGTAAATGAGAGATTGTCTTTTATGAACTTTGATTTATAATGTTGATACTGACCAGAATGAGCAAATATTTATTGAGTGTTTAATATATACCAGGCACCAAGTGTTTTATACATTCTATCTCATTTAACCTCATAACAGCCTTGTAAGGTGGAGAGTATTATCCAGAAAAAGAAGTTGAGGCATAGAGAAACCCAAAGTTACCCGTCTAGCAAGTGGTAGATGTCGTATTCGAACTCTGGAAATCTGGCCCCATAACTGTCTATACAGTTGGAGGAAGCACAAGGCTTTCTCTTTTCAAAAAAAGGGGCATGAGGGAAATGGACCCCAGAAAACCTGGCCTTCAGGAAGAGCCCCAGGCTTATGCCCCTCCCCCACCAATCTCACCAGCTGGAGTTCTCTCTCTGTGCCTTGGTGGGCTGTGAGCTGTTCCAAGGAAGGTCTAGGTGCTGTCTCACTTCTGTCATTTGCACGTACTGTCACTCTAGAGTGCCCTCCCCCAATTGTCGCACTTCTCTGAAGAGTGGCCTCAGTGGAATTTCTCCGAGGAAACCCGATCTGTTATCCTAGTTGGACTCGCTTTCTAGTTCCGCCTTACTTTTCTTTCATCATAGGGCTCTGAGTGCAGTGGGAGCATCTTCCCAGGTAGATTGTAGGCAACTTGAAACAAGTTGGCCTGTAGAGACCTAAGCACTTTCATATTCCTCACTGCCAACTGGGGAGTATGTTGTGAGAATGATGAGCTAAAAATATTTTCTAAAGCCAGGCTGGGGCGATCATAAACTCCAGAGCTGCAGTCCTGACTTTTGATTTTTTGTGGGTCAACCAGAGCTTCCACCCCCATGAGCAGCTCCCCTTTCCTGTGAAGGAACTCCTCTCAGTCAGAGAGCTAAGCCTTCCTCTTCTCCCTGTGCCCCCCCCCCCCCCCCCCGACGAGGTTCTCTTTTCAGAGCTTTACTTTTCCTCTTTGCTGAAGTAGTTTTGCTAAGCAAACAGGAAGTTGCCCCCATGCACTCACTCACCCACATGCTAAAATGAGCAGTGCCCACGAGAGGAATAAGGGAACTGGACTGCGCCTGCAGGGAGCTGAGGCCTGGCCAGAGACCCCGGCTCCCTGGGTGTCCATGGGCCGGGTGACTGGACGTTTATGGGGGAATGGCTCCAGTGCAGCAAAGCCAGGGTACTCTTGTTTTGTTTCAGGTTCCCTCCGAGGTGGTCAACAGTAATGGGTGAGTCAGCAGGGAAAGGCAAGGGTGAGTGACCTCAGGCATGGTACCAGAAGAAAAAGTCAAGTTTGTTTGTAATTCCAGAAGCTTCAGTGCTTTGAGGAAGGCTCCTTTCCCCCTCTAAAGAGAAAAGTTCTTTCCTTTCGAGTTGCCTAGGTTGCCTTGCTGTCTCTTTCTCTCCGACTCATCCTTGTCTCACCCAGGTTTAGTTTCCATGCCACGTACTCTCAAATCCCCTCACCTAGGCTGCTTTCCTTTCCTTGCTCCTTCAGCCATCTCCAAGTGGTCTGGGTGACAGATGGCCAGTGCCCTCGGCACTTTTAGAAGCTCTGAAGGTGTCCAGCTCCCTCAGGCTTGGCCTCACCATTATTGCTGTTTCTGGGTTGGCTCCTTGCCCATAAGGCCTGAGTATAAAAATTCCTTGGTTGGTAAAGAGTGACCCTGAAGATGACCTACAGCTTGGAGACTTTGGGGTTCACAGGAGCCGGCACACAAAATGTATTCAAGGCCTTATTTGTTGTTGGGAAGCTTTTGGCAGGTGGGCGTTGACCCAGCTTTGGGCTCCTTGAACCCCTAGCCACCATCAGGGCCCAATGGAGCTCTTGAGTTAGGAGAGAATCTAGCTTTGTGCTTTGGCAACCAGGGTAATAATTTCCTGTTACCTTTTCATAATATTGGGTTCTCTGTCTAGATGTGTAGGATGGATAAAACTCACCAAAGCAAAATGAAAGTTGTGAAATTCAGACTTTGTTCCATTTTGAGGTCTTCTTTAAGGAAAAACTTGAATTTGTATTTCATATTCGTTTGACATGCATACATAATTTTTCTCTTTCCCAGAGTTGCCTAACTTTAACTTTTCTTTTTTTGGTGATCTGCTATCTTGGAGAGCATAGATAAGTCTCCAGATTATATGTAATGTGGGGTTCAGAAGAGGGAGCTGGCCAACAGTCATATTATTGCAATTAATTCTCTGGTTAATGAGGATAGACATTGTCAAGCATCAAGAACTAATGGAATAGTTCACTTGATATGGGAGAACCTTTTCTAATTTCATTATTGGACATGGGAAACTCACAGGGCAATACCAAATCGTGCTGGCTATTTGCAAAATCTACACACATTTTTATATTTAAAAACAGGAACCAAAGATATATGACTCTGCTTACAATGATTCTTTCTGTTTATAAATGGGGTGGGTGTTTCCCACAAGTCCCTTACGCTTGGATGGGTTTGAAGATTTGGGTCAGGATGGTCTTTCAGAGTTCCTTCTTAGACCTTAAAACAATGGGCTCTGCCTTCAGGCAAACGCCTCCAGAGGAGAGAGTGGGTTTATAACATTTTCATGTAGTGATTTGGCCCGTCACAACTGTGTGAGCAGAGCAATTTGGGGCATGAGAGACCAGTTACACCCACTTCTGCATCGCTCTTCAGGTGCCCGCGGACGTTGAGAAATGTCAGGATCGGATGGAGTGCTTCAATGCTGACCTGAAAGCCGACATGGAGAGGTGGCAGAACAACAAGAGGCAGGACTTCCGGCAGCTGCTCATGGGAATGGCTGACAAGAACATCCAATATTATGAGAAGGTAAGGGGCACGCCGAAGGACCACAGCCCTCTCATTAAGGAAGTATTTCCCATAGACAGAGCCTTTAGGGAGGGCCTGTCAGAAACCCAGAATTAGGGATCCTGCCGGTTCCAGCTCCTTCCCTATTTTACTTTATTCTTAGCAACCCCTGCATGTCTTCCCAGCTGTGCTCAATGTGGTGCTGATTTGGGGAGCAGAACCCCCACTGGGGTTTCAGTTGCAGTCACTACTGATGGCAGTGTTTTTCTCTACCGTGTCCTTTGGCCCTGGCAGCTCACCGCTTCCCAGAATCAGTCAGGCCTTAGCGCAGGGATGCCCCCAGTCAGTGGAGGCTTGGGGTTACATTACTGTGGTATTGGGGTTACTTTAATGGAGGCTTTGGGGTTACAGCTTAAAGGAATCACCTGCTGTGGTTCTACCTCCACGGGTTCCTCACATCCATTGTGCCATGGATCCCTTTGGTTATTTGCTGAAGCCTGTAGACCCCTTATCACAATCCTGTTTTGTTTTGTTTTTAAAACAGACTTTAAATACCTTTAAAAAAGGCATGTAGAATTACAAGGGAAAACAATTATAAACAGCTTTTTTCATGAATTCCCTTCTATCACAAATAGGCTCACTGTCTTGGGGGACCTCATCTTGGCTCCTACGTACATTTAACAAACGCTTTCTGTGTATCTGCTGTGTGCAAGGGGTGGGTACACATTAATAAACAAAACAGCAGGACTCCTGCCATTAAGGAGCCCTCGGTCTGGTGGAGGATCTGCATTGGTACAATAATTCCACCACTGCAGAGTGAGGGAAAGAACAGGAAACTGTGGGAGAAAGTACTGGGGGCGTAATTCAGATTAGGGACGGGAAGGGGCAAGTGGAGTGGGCAGGGAAGGCCAAACTGAGGAAATGGCATTTAATCTGATTCTCAGAGACAAGGACTTGGGGAGTAAGTATTCCAGGCAAAGGGAACACCATATGTAACATATGCAAGGTCGGAAAAAGCTTAAGCATTTGAGGATTAAAAGGAAAGCTGGTGTGGCCTTGGGTCCATCGCTGACATAGAAGGATCCTGAAGGGAGAGAGCAGGACCCAGCATGCCTTGGACCCCGCCCTGGCCTCTGGTTTTGAAAGTAAGCTCTGCGCCTGGCTTCTTCTCCAACCTCAGAGTCACCAAGAAAGAGTAGCAGGGAGTGATTTCACCGCTCTTGACCTAAGGATGCCTCTTTCCTCCCATCTCCTCTGAATTCATCCCCAAGTGACTCAGCACAAATTCCTGGTTCTAAGAAAGGCCTTGTGTGATTCCCCTGTCCGTCCCTCTTTGCAAAAGACTTCTCAAAGGGAAGACCAGTTCGGCTGAGTAGGGTGGTCTCGGAGGAGAGTGCCTAAGTTGTCTATGGACCTGGGGTGCACGGAGATTGGTATAGTTGGAAGAACTCTCATTTTGGAGTCACGAGCCTCTGCCATTTATTAGCTGTGTGTCTTGGGCAAGTTACTTAACCTCCTGGGTCTCATTTTCCTCATCTATAAAGTATGTGTTTGTGTGTGTGTGTGTGTGTCGTGAGGACTACTGATACTGAATGTGAAATACATGGCAGTGTTTGGACATGATGAAACAGTAAATACAGAGTTCCCTCCCGCCATTGTCCCAGTTGGGAGCTCCTGGTGCCGCCATACAAGTAAAAGTGAGGCTGGTGAGGAAGACCGGGTTTCCACCCCCTCAGAGCCAGGTGGCTGACTCATTCCAGTGTGACTTCCAGCCTTATGCAGGCACCACCCATACCTGGAGCCCTGTCCCCATCCTGGCTGAGAACCTAGGGCCTCATCAAGGGTTCGTAGCCTGGTCTCTTCTCTGCTTTTTGAAGGGAAGGAATTTCTTTCAGTGACTCCATTTCCACTTATTGGATGTGAGCATTTAGTATGGACAGCGCATTGCGACCTTGTACAGACGCTGTGTATCTTTCGTAGAAATGGGGGTGAAGTTTTCAAAACCAGCACCTGTTACCTCCTCCCTTGCTGGTAGTTATGGATAACGCATGTGGGCATCATTAGACAAGGTCACCCGGCAGGATCGTCAGGATTAGAGCAGAATTAAGAAGCTGACCCCGAAATTGAAACCCGATGCTGATACTCGGTGCCCCGTGTTGTTGTTTCAGTGCCTCATGGCGTGGGAGTCGATTATTCCACTTCTGCAGGAGAAGCAAGAGGCCAAGTGAGTTCCTTCTGGGGACAGAGGCTCTCCTACCTACACAGGGCACAGCACGCCGTCCCGGATGTCCCTGCTGTGCCAGAGAGCGGGCGCTGAGCAAGCAACCACAGAAGCATCTCTCCCCGTGTATTTCTCTCCCTCCCCACCTGCCTTTGTCTGACATTGTTTTCACTTAGAATTTACTCCCTGGCGGAGGTGTAAGGCTATAATCATCTCTCAGCAAAAGCAGCAGACCTCCGTGCTGTGAAGGAACCTATGACATGGAACACTACGAAGATTCGAAAGCGAGGGACCGGATATCCTCAGTTGACCCTCTGACATCTTGTCACAGTTTCCTGTTCTGGGACAGCGGAGCTGCCTGTTGCGGAAGGGAACCCGGGCCCCGCTTTTCAGGGATGTGAGGAAGGCACAAACAGGAGGCCATTCTTGCTTCCCGTGGACACACAGCAGCTCTGGACTGACCTCTGTGGGCAATGACATGTCCCAGCCTGGCAGGAGGTGTTGGCACCTCCGTGGAAGGTCCTTAATGTACAGTGGCCTGAAGCCGTGTGTGGCCTGCTCCCTGCTCGTGATGAGTGGTGCCTGTTTGATGGTTCCTGGTTCCCGTGGGGCCATTGAAATCAGTGTCTGAATGCATCCGAACTAGAGCCAGCCAGCCAGCGTCCTTGTCCTTACGCGATGCCTCGGGGAGCTGGAGGACAGGGCTCCCCAAACTTTTTTCTGACACTAGAATGCGGAAGATTGGAAACTGTTTTTGTGTAAAATGAAAAAAGGTGCATTTTTCCTCTGTGATGTCCTTCCATGTTGTTGTTTTATTTGTGAAATGTCATCAAAGTAGAGAGTAGGCCTGTGGGGGAGTAGCTATAGTCTCGAAGTCAGGGTAGCTCCTCCTGTTGCTGAGATCATAGGGCAGATGCCAAGCCCCGCCTCCCACATCTGCTTTGTGCAGTTGCCTTTACCTCACCAAAAAGTCCTAGTTTAATGTTTCCTATTATGTCCACTGAGTGCTTGGGCAACGCGTTGGTGAGAGGCTGGTGTGTGGTTCTGACACAGTCGAGATTCTGCAAACTCAGTGTGAATGTCCTACATGAAGTGCTTTAACCCCCACTATTTCTGACCAGGAGCAAAGTCAGTCCCTGGTCGAACCTCCACTATGACACCGGCAGCAGTGGACTCTCTGCTTCTGGTGGAGCTAAGGTCAGTTTGCAGCCAAGCTCCTGGGGCCTGCTGGCTGCATCTAGTCTTTATTCCAAACTATTACCAGGTTTACTTTTAAAATCAACATCAAACAAGCAGATGGGGAAAAAAAAAATATCTATCTTCCAACTAGGTTTTTTCCTTCTCTTGAAAGGAAGCTACATGTCACGTTTGTGTTCTTTCTCCCGCGGCTCATCCTTATAAAATTATAAATCTGAGCCTCAAATATGCGGTAGTATTTTTTTTTTTTTTAATGAAGCAGCTGTGCGGAGACAGCCCTGCACGCGGAAGGTAACCTGCAGGTGCCGCCAGCCAGCGCGCGGCACGTTGAAGTCACGCCACTCCACTTCCGTCGGCAGAGCTGGCCCGGTGCCAGCCATGCTGTGATGCTGTCGGGGCAGCAGCTGGACGGCACAGGACAGTTGGTTCTGTTTCATCGTGTTTGAAAAGTCGCGGTTTAAATTATAATTTTTATATCAATGGGTACTTCACTGCACTGTCAGACCCTGTTCGTGCTATGCGCAAACCCTCTGATGTGAATTTTCAGTTTGGTACGATTAGAAATGATTCATTGAAGTAGGTGGATAAGAACAGTCCATCTAGCCTGAGGGGTGATTCAGTGCTTCATTCTACCTCTAAACCATCACGTTGGTGTGGGCATGGGTGCCCGGGTCCAGCCTGACCGCTTGCTGGTAGAATCAGGGTGGGTTGATGGCTCTCTATTGAGATTTGATAGAAGACACTAGACGGGCCCAACAGAGAACACTCATCTCTGGGAATGTGTGAAGGCTTGCCTTATGGAATGTGTGCTTTTAAAACGTTGCCCAGTGTAATGAATACTCAGAAAGAACTATGGCAGGAGTTACAGGAAAACTAGGCGGTAGTCTGCTAGGTTCATCAGTGGGACATTTGGGGAAGGGCGTAGGGCCCGCAGTCACCTCTGAACATTTCTGGAGGTGAAAGACTAGCTCTGAAAGGGTTTGGGCACCTTGGGATTTTGTCTTCCTCTCTTTGGCCCCCATGTGATGTTCCTGTGCCATAAGATGCCAGCAAAAGCTGAAACACGGCTCACCGCCCTCCAGCATGCTACTGGTAGCAGGTCTGGGGAAAGCCGTGTGTAGTACAGGCTTCCTTGGAGAAATGGCCTAGGCTGGCATCTTAAGGTGAGGAGGCAGGGACAGTAGGCAGTGAGGGAGGCTCTTCAGTCCTCTAAGGGCTCCCCTGAGGGTCAGCAGGCCCAAGCATTCGCCTCTTCATCTCGATCAGCACAAAGGTGATTGATCCCCTAGGACCGTGGTTGGCAAACTGCGGCTCGCAAGCCACATGTGGCTCTTTGGCCCCTTGAGTGTGGCTCTTCCTAAGCCTTAGGAGTACCCTAATTAAGTTAATAACAATGTACCTACCTATATAGTTTAAGTTTAAAAAATTTGACTCTCAAAAGAAATTTCAATCGTTGTACTGTTGATATTTGGCTCTGTTGACTAATGAGTTTGCCGACCACTGCCCTAGGAGATGTGTGATCCAGAGACTTCTGTGCCAAAGACTGCCTCATCGAGGCTTCGTCGCCCCATCCTCCTTGTCTCCACAAAGCGTGGTGCCGAGAGCACCAGCTCCTGTCTTGTATTCATTTTCCAGGAGATTTTTTGCTTGCAGGTGCACCTAACCTCAGGCAGACATGGGCAGGTTGCGAGGCTTGAGCACATGGCAGTGAAATGGACAGTCATTCCGTCTGCTGGCCCCGGGCCTGGGAAACGACAGGTTTCACTTCCCAGGTCAAAAATCCAGGCCAAGGCAGAAGAGAGGGTTCCTAGAAACAGCAGGTTTTAGAGAGCAGGTGGTGTTGAAGATAAGATGGCAGCAGATGCGGACATTGCTCTTCCTTATCACGGGCTGGGCCTACAAGAAGATCCTAGGCTACTCTGCAAGGAACCACTGCCCCTGATGGAAGAGGCCTATCCTACCCGGCCGGACTTTCTCCTTTAGTAAAGCTTAATGACGATTCCCGGTGAGCTCAGATAGTGCGATTTGGGAGGCGATCAACTTGTATTTCACTGTGCTGCTCTTTGAACTCACCAGACACCTTTCTTTAGTTGAAGTAACACAGCCCGGCACCACGCTGGGATCCTGGGGAATGTAACGTAAGCTTGTCTTCATGCCAAATTTCAGCCACACCGGAGCGTGTTCTGCATGTTGTTGAATGAGTGTTTTCTCAGTCGCTGTCCATGCACACTTGCTGCTCATTTCCTGGGAGGCCGCCTTTTGTGACGGAATGACAGGAAGCTCTGCTTTAGAGGAGGGCGGCCGTCGGCCAGTGGAGTTTCTCTCGGGACGGCATCAGTCCAAGAGACACCCAGAGTTTGTGTGACTTGATCCTGAGATTGGGAGCATTGAAACCATGGGCACCAGTTGTTGTTTTGATGCCATTCATGGGGCTTGAGAACAGTCATTCTCTGTACTGTGTCCTAACGGGTGAGAGAGGAGGGACAGCGAGGTCCAGAGCCACCTCCTGGGTCTATGTTGGCCTCATCTCTTTGGCTCTTAAGATGGGTCAGAGTTGGGCTCTGCTCTGGCTGCACTAAAAGGTGCCTCTGCTGAGCAAATGGGCTGCCTGTGGTCAGGGCGGGCGTACCATCCTGGACCCTGCCTTCCTAGACGCCTACTCTAAAGGTCTGGAAACTGGTTAATCTAATTATGAGGTTGGGGAAACACCGCTTTGGTCATCTCCGTTTACAAAATGATGTTGGTAATGGGGGTTTGCCTCTCAAAAGTCCTCAAGATGGCAACAGATTGGACACGCCCTCTCACTTGTTACATTTTCTCTATTTGGATGGCAGGTGGCATTTAGCAGTAAATTTGGGGGAAATGTCATCCCCTGGGCCAGACAGATTGAGCCAGGTGTGTTGGAGTTGTCCTCTTCCTTGTGTTTTGTTTTTTTTTAATTCAGTGACTAAACCAGAAACCCGGTTTTTGATCAATCCACCCAGTAGGTGGTTAGCTTTTTGTTTGAGGGATGTCTGGTCTCCCCATAGCTGCACAGATTAGAGCATGCGCAGGGCTGGCTGCATTAGAAAAGGTGGGGAGGGACTTTGTTACAGGGGGTTTGACTGTTCTTTCTTAATCGTATGTATTTGAAATGCTTTCTGGGTAAGGCTGTCTGATCCCTTCTGTGTGGCAGAAAAATGCGTTATCCAGGTAGTTTTTGCTACTATAGAGAGCCTGTAAATAAGGGCTTTGAAAAAATACCTTTAACAAACCAGTAAGATTCTGTGTCTCATACATAAACATTCTGTGTACTTAGCACTTGAAAATAAACAAATCCAGACTTTTAAAAATGCCACAGACTGTTAAAAGCCTGACTCTACTTTTTGAGAATTTGTCAACACCTGTTAAAATGCCTTATTCTTCAATGGGTGTTTTTTAGATTCTGGATTTTTTTAAAAAAAGAGTTTTTAGAAATGTAATCAGTTGTTCAGCCTGAACACAAGAGGTCTAGCATAGTCAGTCCTCAGTCCTCTTAAAGCAGCGGTTCTCAACCTGTGGGTCGCGACCCCTTTGGCGGTCGAACGACCCTTTCACAGGGGTCGCCTAAGACCATCCTGCATATCAGATATTTACATTACGATTCATGTTGAGTGTTTCCTTCCCACGTCCGCGTGGGTCAGGGTTCAGGAACTGGAAGCAGAACCGCACACAAATGAAAATGAAAAGACAAGAGATAATTTGAAATATTGGGGGACCAGGCGGGCAAGTCCAACTCAAGGGGAAGGACTTCCACCCGTGCTCAGGCCTCACCAAGCTTTTATTGATTCTGGGATGCACCCATAGCATAGCCCTTAGGCAGGTGACCACCTAGTAACAAGCAGACTAGCCCATCAGCAAGGATTTACTTAATAATAAATGGGGAAGTTGCTTCAGCTACCACTGTCTGGACAAACAGAGGTGGTGCCTAGCTCCTACCTTTGCTAGGGCTTCAAAGGCACCCAGCCTTCGGGGGGTTCTCTGTCTACACTTATCAGATAGTGAAGGCAATAAACAGTTTCCCACAGATTCATAACAGTAGCAACATTACAGTTATGAAATAGCAACAAAAATAATTTTATGATTGGGTCACAACATGAGGAGCTGTATTTAAAGGGCCAGAAGGTTGAGAACCACTGTCTTAAAGAAACAAATAAGAAAGTAGGGTTCATAATTAGGGCTGCCTTTTGGGAAGAGAAAGCTAAGTATTGCTATTGCCAAATGATGTTTTTGATAATGTAAGGAAACACAGGGACCACAAGACCGTTTTTGTTTTAGAGTGTGAAAAATTAACTTAGTGCCTTTTGGCACACTTTTGATTGTAGAGGATATATGGCATCAGCATCGACAAATCACATAGATACAAAGAACCCTATAGATTATGACAATATTAAAGCTTTACCCTGATTCTGCAGAGCAGCTTTTTAAGAGATACCGTGGAGGCCTCAGACCAGCACATTTCAGGAAGAAATGCTCCACAGGTTGAAATGCCAAAAACAGAAAACATATTGTGTTGACTCACATAATCTAGTCAGTTTTACTAGGGCTTTTTCAATGAAAACCAGTGACTGAGTATT